AAGCCAGGAGGGGGTGTCGATGGGAAAAGGAAGGAACCCTGGGCTAAATCCGGCACGTCCTGGGCTAAAAATCTGGCAAAATCCCCAAGGTGTCTCACAAGGAGTGAGATGGGGCTGGTTTTACCTCCACCTCTTGTTTCTACCTCCATATCTCATCCTACCTCCGCGGTTACGGCATGGACCCAATGCCCCCCGAGGAAAGACAATGGGATTTCTGGTGGAGTAAAAGATCGTGGAGGGGAAAAAAAAATTAAAAAAAAAAATCAAAAATAAAATAAATCGGGTCCCAAGGCTCCTCTTCACTAAACAGACCAAAAAAAAAACCAAAAAAAACCAACAAAAAAACCAACAAACCAACCCAAAACCGTACAACCTTTTATTTACAAGCTGAAAAAGCCAGTTTTGCTATTTTAAGGAAAATTCCTCCATTGGGTAGAGCCAAGTGCAGCTGGGCTGCTGAGATGGCTCCCAGGGCCTCCTCCTGTTCCTCCTCAACACCAAGAACATTGCCAAGGTCCAACGTCCCATTGACCACCCTACAGCATGAGGTAAGCAGTGTCAGGAAAAAGGAGTGCTTTTTTTTTTTTTTTTTTTCTTTTTTTTTTTTTTCCGTTTTATTTTAAAAAATGAAAATGAATTAAAATTGGTAGAAATCTTTGGCCTTTCTCTCAAGATGCATTTAAAGTGTCGTGAAATTAAGAAACATGCTTCAAAATGCCATGTCATTCTGACTCTGGTAACTATTCACCTCCCTCCACCCTAACCCAGAAAAAGAGGCACTTTTAGTGTTTCATATAAGATTTCCAATCATCTCGTAGACACGCGAAATAACCCTGCACAATTGGAGTCCCAGAATAAACCCAGTTTAGCAACATTACAAAGAGTCTAAAAAAAAAAAAAAAAGCTTTTATGAGGACCTAGATATTCTCTTAATTACACTAAAAAGTCCACCGGTTGGGAATCTTTACATCAATTAAAAAAAAAAAAAGGTAAAGCAAAAATAGGAGAGGAAAAAAAAAAAAAAAAAGAGGAACTTGACAGAAACCTGGCCCTAAAGCTGACATGAGAAAGGGGGGTTGAGGTGGGTGCACAGAGACAGTGAACTCAAGAGCAGCTCAGTTCTCATTCCATGGTTCATTCTGAGCCTGGTGTTTTTCCTTTTTCCCCTCCCTTTCCATTTAAATCCTCTATTTGGGTATTTGCCCCTTAATGGGTGGAACTGGGGAAAAGAACAGGAAGGCAGGGGGCTGCCTTCACAGCTGGCAAAGGAGGGATGGACCTGATGTGAGACTCAGCAGGACCAAGAGAGGGTCTCACCAGCGTTTGGTGACCTCAACTGACAAGGAAAACTGGGACCTTCTCCCTCCTTCTCCCTCCTGAGGTCTCTGGGCCATCAAAGACCCCAATTAATGTTGGGGTTCTCTCTCTCAGGTGGTGGCAGAACCTGGAGGGGTGTGTGTGCAAGGGCAGAGGGGTGAGCAGGAGCAGCACTGTGGCACGCTAGGAAGGGACAACAATAAAAAGAGCTTCCCCCCACCCCCTGGCTCCTCTCCCGGGGGGGGTGCCATCCTGGGGAGGGGGTGGAGGGGAGGGAGGGTGTCTCAGGCTGTGCCTCCAGAGCCCCCCAAATCGAGGGGTCTGACCTCCCCAAAAAACCTGTGACACCCCAAGCTCTGTCTTCTCCCTTTCTGAATCCGTGAGACTTATGCTCAAGCAACTAGAATTACAACCAAAACAGCTGATGATTGAGAAAGAGGAAAAATGGCAATACCCTAAAAAACATGGCTGGGGGATTGTTTTTTTTTTTTTTTTTTTTTTTAGGGACAAGCAGGACCCTCTCCCTCCTTATCCCTCCTGAGGTCTCTTGCCCCATCAAAGACCCCAATTAATGCTGGGGTTCTCTCTCTCAGGTGGTGGCAGAACCTGGAGGGGTGTGTGTGCAAGGGCAGAGGGGTGAGCAGGAGCAGCACTGTGGCACGCTAGGAAGGGACAACAATAAAAAGAGCTTCCCCCCACCCCCTGGCTCCTCTCCCGGGGGGGGTGCCATCCTGGGGAGGGGGTGGAGGGGAGGGAGGGTGTCTCAGGCTGTGCCTCCAGAGCCCCCCAAATCGAGGGGTCTGACCTCCCCAAAAAACCTGTGACACCCCAAGCTCTGTCTTCTCCCTTTCTGAATCCGTGAGACTTATGCTCAAGCAACTAGAATTACAACCAAAACAGCTGATGATTGAGAAAGAGGAAAAATGGCAATACCCTAAAAAAATTTTTTGCAGCTATGTCACAGAATTCCACCACAATTGTTTCCATTGGCTGAAAGAATCATCCGATAACTCTGATGAAAATGAATAAACTGTCCATATTAAAATACAAAAGTACTATCAAGAATCACTTCTGACTTTCAGATTTCAATTCAGTGCAATTGACAAATGCATTGCTAAACGAAAAAAAAAATGCAGCTTAAACATACTCAAAACATTTGTGTCTATTCCTGGGAGCACAGTTTAAAAATTATTGCACAGAATTTTTTTTTTTATTTTTATTTTTTTTGTTTTTTTTTCTTTTTTTCTCCATTAAATGACAGAGGTCAGCCACAGTCATGGACCTCCAGCAATAGAAGCAATATTTCAAGTGCCAGACGCTCAATATATGAGGTTTCCTACACATTGGAACTCAATGGTAAATCACTCTCAACATTTGCAGGATGTTCCAAAAAAAAAAAAACAAACCCTAAAAGTAGCTGGCACCGAACCCCCGCCGCTGACTGGCTTCATGGATATGAATTTGTTGTTGGTTTTAAAAGCTGTGTGTGACAGTAACACAATCCTGGGGTACAGATAAAGAAGGTATCGTTGACTTGTCTTTACCACTGGCAAATTGCTACCCTACCTTAGCCAAACTCAGACTTGCTTCAAGTCGTGTTTATTCCATGGAAATAGCAGAAATCAAGGCCTTAGAGAACAATGGTTAAAATGTCAAAAGCTGCATTATCTCAATTAAATCAATATTCACCTAACTTGGAAGGGGAAAAAAAAAAAATAAAACAAAACAAACAAAAAAAAAGAAGTTAGAGACTAGCAATCATAAGCCACAAAATTATTTGTGATTGAAATAGTGTTATAAAACCGATAACTTTGCAAAGCTCTGTAATATAAACCATTCCTTAAGTAAAATGCCTGTGACATAAATTTGACAACCTCTCTTTTTATAAATTTACACTCTTGGAATCTTTATGCAAGACATGATGCAACCTTTTCGACTACACGTACGCGTAAAACACAACCTCATGCTATCATTTACAAATAAAATCACTATCAGTATACTTTTAATCACATGAGCAGAAAAAGGTTCGCCATATACATCTGTCATTGTAAGAAAAATACTTGATATTGTAAACAGAGTAAAAGACACTATATAGTAGTGATTATTAAAAAAATAGCAGCTTACTTCTAACCCTATATTTGGAAAAAAATGTAGTCACAAGATACAATAAACTGCAGGACTGGAGCAGCAGGGGAATTAGTGCAAGTATTCATCTTTTAAATAAGCTGAATCACTGCTATTAAAATAAACTTGAAGCAAGTCCTCTGTTTAAGATTATTTTTTTTTTCTTTTTTAAATCTAAGGTAGTAAACATTTTGCCTCTTAATGGCAGTGTTATCAAATATATGCCAAAGATTTTATTTTAATAAAGAAAAAAAATTACATGAGATACTTTTAATACTGGAGTTTGGTTACAATTATACATCTAAGCTCCTACAAATAACGATGGGCGACTCTCAGAGAAGCTGTGGCATGAACCCTTGTCCAGAAAGATCTTAAACCTCTTAAAAAACGATCCCCCAACTTATACTTTGCTCCTTTTCACAATAGTGCACAATTTCACCATATTTTAGCTATGGTCTTAAAGCAACAGAAGATGCAATTTTTTTTCCTCTTTTTTTTTTTTTTTGTCCTTTTTTTATTAATTTATTTATTTTTGCATCCCTGTCTTTTTCTTTGCTGTATTTTTGTGCCCTTCTATTCTGAAGTTTGGCAGAATTATGTCCCAAATAAGAAACTACTGCATTTCAGCCATGTCACCAGCAAATAAAACATAGCATTATACCCATTACTGTCATATTTTGTAGATGAGCAGGACGTGAAAGATCACGCCTCGAAGAAGGATTATTTTATTATTTTTTTTTTTTCTTCTCTCTCCATAATCCCTTTTCCACCCTCCCTCTGTTCACAAAATTGTGCTCTGGGAGCCACAAAATGTACCAAACATTATCAGGTTCAATCTACCTCTTCAAAGAATGTGTTAAAATATGTTTCAAAGAAACATTCTTTTTTTTTTTTTTTCCAAGGTGAAAAAAAAAAAAAAAAAAAAAAA